AATATAAACGACGTATGACATGCGTTTCTACAGTCCAGTACAATACAAAAATCCGAATTTTTTGTTTGCACTAATTCTCTATAAAATCCATAAATTTCCTTGAAATTATTCAATGCACGAAATTCAATTTTGAGTTTTAACCTATAACATTAGCAAGTTCATTTTTCAAGTCAAACTATCAATAACTGACCGTTACGATCTAACCACACCAGAGTTTATATACACTATACAGCCTACATAATATTGTTAGTTTATAGCCTGAAGGACCGGAGTGCAGTATGTGGATACGTTGCGGTATCAAGGCTATACATAAGAACCCTGTATACAAAGCCTGTAGAATATCATGTTATTTATGGACAAACACGTAACCTCATTATTCTAAAATGCTATTATAATTACTCTATTACCTGTGATATATATTATAAATAGTTTCGATGATACAGATATTATTATTCATTTTATTTTATCGGTTTTAGATGTTGAAACATTATTTGTTCTTAAAGCCTAACGCATATTTTTTAATGAGTGTATAATTAATCTATAATGGACAAAGGAAAAGAAGGACAGAGTGAATAAATTATCTGTTGGTATCTAACATAAAATATGTACAACAATTAAAAATAATAATAATAATAATAAATATATTTATTACTAATTATTAAATAGCATATATTTGAAGTTTAAAATCTACCTGATCATCTCGTGACAGCCACGTTTTTTAATTTAAAATACATATATATATACAATATAAAACCTATGTATAAAATATACTATTATGGCAGTAATAAAACGATAAATTATTAAATAATAAATATAATGTAATATAATTAATTTCACAAAAACATTTATTTTTATATGACAATAATAGAATAAAAAAATAGTATAACTCAAATACAAAATAGTATTACAATTTATTGAAAGACATTAAGGTTCATTAGTCTTAATAGTAAATTATATCCCACACAGTTGGTATTATACTTAGGAACGTAAAAGGTGCAGTATTTTGAAAAAGAATCAATAATGTCATTGATTAAATTGTTCACTTCTGTAAAAAGTTCATATTAGTATGTAGTTTGTATCATTAGAAAGAGAACATACAACAAAGCTAACGGTAGGAGTTTAATCGTGATCAGAGTACTATATTTTAATCTTTTAGTTTTATTCAATTTTGTTATTTTATAATACACATACACGTATGTTGTGATATATTAAACTTAAAAAAAAAAATGAACTTGATATTCAAACTAAATTTTGCAATATATTAATGTATGAAGTAAGAGCTCTCCAACAAAAACAATTAATTTGAAAATAATAGGAAATTTAATGAGTTATTTTTAAGTCTGATATTTGGATGTCAGATATACTCATGTGTAACTTATGACTTCAATTCTCTACCGAAATCTAATCAATTTATTTTTTAAATGTATAAATAATATTATTATTAAGATATCAGTAATGAATACGATTAACTCTGTAATGATACGGACGAATATTCAGTCGTTACTAGTACATTAATCCGTTTTAATAATAAAATAATTTTGTAAATTTAATGTCAACAAATTTATATTTTATAAATATGAAATTAATTTTCAACAACAAAAAAACTTTTAATGTTAAAACATCTAAATAGTAAGACATGCTAAGAAACAAATCTACTTATTTATCAACTCCAAGCTTTCATATATAATTAACACTTTTCTAACTCACAACATTCAATTACTTGTTATTTAATAATGTGAAGTCTTACAATGACTAAATTACGTGAAGTCATTTGCATATAGATTTCAAGGTTTGATAGAAAGTTTAACCTAGGTGAGAGTAGATTATAGGTCATTCTGGTGAAATAATTATATGATACGGTATGTGTGGATAGTGATGTCGTTTTATGATTACGAGGATAAAGTATGAGGTAGTCGATATAATTTTGTTTTAATAGATAATTTATTATGATCTTATATTTCACTATAATATACTTTATAGGTAGGAAAAGAGTGTCAACCACCAATACTTTTATTAAGCAGATTCGGACGATCGTGTATTAGTACATATAAGAAAAATAGTATTACGGGATGGCAGTGTGAAAAAATCACTCATCGCGGAAGCCTGGATATCAATGATCGATGCAAGATATTTAAACCAAGCATAGATAACTTAACGAGCTAATGCCATATTAGAAGAGATATTAATACTTAAAAGGACTAATGTGATTAATTTCTAATCACAACTATTCGGTCAATTTCCAAAGAGCACCACTTTTCTACTGATAGAACATCAATTATTGAGTTGGCGTTGGAGTTGCGCCGCCAAGATAAGAGAACCACCCCGTCTGTTGTGTTTTACTGCTGATAGTCGTCGGTTACTGTTTGGATTCTGAAAATTGCTAGCCCAGAAGATTATCATCAGATAATCCGTCGACCAGTGTAGATGGGATCTGTGATACCGGTCAACGGTCATTGACTCAGTGCACTGTAGTTGCTGGAGTTAACCGGCTAAAGGTGCTAGTTATGCCTGCTAGCATAATATAAATATAATAAACAGTCGCCTGCTGAGGAACACATTGTAGATCATCGGATCACTTCGTACTCAACTCAGTTTAAAAGCTTTTAGGTTTCTTGATTGAGGATTAAATATTTAATTAGTATAGCATTACCTGAGCAGTAAACACATTATCTCTAACTGTGACTTTAACATTCACTTCCTCCTAAGAAATCTCTCTTCTACAATACCTACCTTGATTTAATCCATTATTGCATTGATGATACTATATATAGCACAAATCCGTGGTTGTCAACCTTTTTTTCATTCCGTAACCCCTAAGTTTAATATTTTGCTAGATTATACCCCTCATTATAATTTTTAAACTTTTTCACATAACTACTTTTAAAATATTTAAATAAAAAATAACAAAAAATTCTATGTTACATTCTATACTCTTTATCTATTAGATAAGTTGACGGTTAAGTTTTAATTTATGACACAAATTTTAATTTTTAATAACATATCATGAATATTTTCGAAATGAATTGTTTTAAATAAACATATTCAACATTTTCCGCTATTAGCCAATTTTTTTTTCACGTACCCCTTTTAAAATTATGTCGCATACCCTAGGTTGAGAACTGTTGGTATAAATAATTAATATTTAACTATAATTTTGTATGGTCATCAGCAAAAACTTATAATATTAAACCAGCGAAATTAATACAAATAAATATAATTTATAAAATGTATGAAGTCTTTTCAAGAATTTTAAATTTTATAAAGTTGATAATATTTCAATTAAGGAATTTAATAGCAACTTCGTTCCCATTTTTTAAAAAACTTCATGATGTTGTTTTTTGACGTTTGTCTAGACATATATAGTGAATACTATAACTTTAAAACCAAAGTGTTCCGTGTATTAAAAACTGTTAATGGAATTATGACATTTTTTGAAAGTAAAGAAAAACGCCAATAAAAATACAATAATAAAATTTCTGAACCATTGTAGCACAAATAACAGAATTTCAATAGTCAACACTAATTGAAAACCAACAGTTATTTTATTTTTTCTGCGGTAGTCGGATAATATTTTGCAGATTAAATTAACTTTTTATAACATTAACTCAAAAATCTGTCCAGACTTAAATTTTTTTAATTAATATTTCGTAATTCTTATGATGATTTAATCGGATTAACATATTACACTTAACATAATTACGATAATATTGTTTTTATGTAAATTTTTAATAAGTTTGCATGGTTCAACCACAGACAAAATAATGGACTAAGCAAAAAACAATTAGGTAACGAATATCTTACTGCTTTGAAATATAAATAGACGTAGAAAAGCTTTAAAAATTTCAAAGTAAAACAGAATCAGGTATGACTGAAGTCAGAGATCTATAATTGACCATGCGGTTTTCCGCACCATATGATTTATAGTCGGGATTTATATCATTAAACGCCGGAGTAGACGATAATAATGACGTCAGGATGAGAGGTATGAAGCACAAACATTACTACTACAACAATACACGATTGTATTATTATATCATCATTGTTCTTGTAATGTATGTTTTTCTGTTGGCAACGTATTCGGTGGTGTAAATTATATCAATAATCTTGATAATAGTTTGCATGGACTGTACGAGTTATTTTTCAAGTCGTTTGGCCATGTTCCCGCAGTAGTAGCATAATATAAATATATTTAAATATCTTCAAGTCCAAAAATTTAAATTTTAAGATATACATTTGCATGATTAGCCATATTCTGTTTACATGACACAAACTATAAATATGGGTAAGTAGATAAAATATTAAAATTAACAACATGTTATAAATTAGCGTGTAAGAATTATTTTATTAACCAAAATAAATTTAATATTATTTTAAGATTGCCTAACGTTATTTTTTAGAAACAGGCAAATTAATAAGAAAAATTAACTTGAGTCAAATGCAGTCAACGTTGAAAACGTTAGGTTATAAGTTATAAGTTAATAGGTAATAAAAAATAAATTTAACTCTTTATACGAGTTACTAATACATAAAATATTACGTGCACAGCAATCCCAAATCGAATACCTTCCAATTTTCAAAGATTTCTCGTGGAATAATACTGACGACGTGCGAAGTATATGTCCGCTCTTTTTATTTTAATAGGTATATGGCGGCCCGGTAATCCCCGCAACGTCCACAATTCACTTATTTAAGACTCACCGCTCAGCTTAGTAAGTACTTAAAAAACGCCAATTATTTAAACGAGCACCTAGATAAAAGCCATCCGAACAATGATATATTTAATATTTCCAATAACTGTAAGATAGCGTAGTACTTTTACGAGGACAATTAAAGCTTTTTCAGGAGTACCTACTGACCATCGTGTCCCAATATTTATTAAATAATATTTATATAACGTATAACACAGTACATTAAAAATATTTCCATAGAAATAAAGACAAACAATTACCATTGAACGCATAAATGTCGTCTACATATTTATTAAACACTAAGGGTCTTACCAAATATCAAGCATCGATTCAATATATTGTACGCATATTGAGTTGTAAATGTGAATTTCTCGAGTGTTATGCGACTTCTAAGAAAAACACTGGAACATTTATTGAAGTCGTATAATCAGTCGGTCCGTCGCATCTGTAGAAATAGAAAATGACACAAGTTATTTTGTGTCGATAACAGGCGTTCAACATATTTATAAATTATATCAAATTCATTGATGTCTTTTATACTCGTGCAATACGAGTATCCGTGAATATGCCTGAAACTCATTCACCCGGAAACAACAATATAAAGTTTTACGATTCTGTAAGATCGTTATTTCGAATTGATTCGCTTCCAATAAATAATCGTTGGCACTAAAATTTATCATACAGTAATTCGTATTTTTACAAACTTAACTATTTCTTTTTCTCCTTCTATCTAGCGTGTAGAAGTTTAGTTAATTTTTTAACGACGTACACTCTTATCGATGACTCAAAATAAAATATATGTAAGAAGGATCTTTTAATAAAATTGTAATTTGTACAGACCTTGTCATATGCACAGTGGTTTAAATAATTAATACAATTGTGGCTTGGCGTGGCGCGTTGGCTGCTATCAGTTGCGGAATGCGACTGAGAGTAAGTAACGGCCACAGCTACTAGCTCCCGGATGGGTGACCACCCGGAATCATAGTGGTTAAAAACATTGCCACACATACACGTGTTTGCTATCAACCGTAGTAATCGTAAAAAAACAACCTACTGTACCAACCTTACTCCTATCACAGTTCATAACCCCTACAACAGCTAATGGCCCTAGTCGCCGGGCTTAAGTTCAATAAAAAAAAAAAATTAATACAATTATTCAAAAAATAAACTATTTCACACAAAAAAGACGAATTTTTTTTTTATGTAGGTAATGGAATAAAAATTGTATTTAAAATTTTAATTTTTAATCATTTAATGGTTTTTATCGTTTGGTAACCATCCACCACTAATGATTTTCAAATATTTTATAGTCAACATAAATTCCTACCATTTGCATAAATACATCTTTAAAATTGACTTAAGAATCTATCGTATATATTTAATCTATCCTCTAATCTAGATCAAAGTTAAACTTTTAATTTAAACATTTACAACGACATCAAAAAGCTCAAAATTTTTTATCATTTTTATCTTAATTTTTCTATTATGATTTAACATAATATGTCCTACACTAAAATGTTTATTATCAATATCTATGTAAATATGTAAATACCAATTATTTGTAAAATATGTACTCACTGGTAAAATATTTAAGAAAAATAAATATTTACTTCAAAATATGAGAAAATATATATAAAATAAAAATAAAAGTTAAATACTTCTATTATTATTCCAGAAGTTTCAATGAAACTTACTAGTTTTTACTAAGAAATAAGAAACCAACATCCTATCAAGCATTTAAATACAAAATTCACATCTTAATCGTTAGTCACTTAACCATCTGCAATGTTACATAATACAGTTTATCTTAGACATTTCGAGTTTGTATTGTTTGTCGAAATAGTAATATTATACGTGACGGTTGGTATACGTCGTATACGAAAACCAGAAAACTTTTCCAATAAATTTCAAATTTAATAACGAAATATACCATAAGTTTTGCATCGCATCGTTTTTTCCATCCAACGTAAATGTCATTATTTTTAAAAAGGTCAGCCGAAACAAAAAAACGTCTGACATCAGATTTCCACATAATTATATTAAACCATTAAAGTTTTAATCGGTTTAAAATTATTTCAATAATATTCGAACGTATACCTATGGTTTTAACATAGAATTTTGAATTGTAATGTAATATATTATTATTTGAATACTGCTATCATATTTGCTTGATATACAATACCGTTGTACAGCTCTTTTATACGTAGATTGTTCCAAGCAAATGTAATATTATAATAATATACCAATATTTAGGCACGTGCGCCTGTGACAATAGTATACGAGTAAACTTGCACGTCAAGAGGATTTGTATTGTATGTTAAGATAATTATCAATGTTTTAATTTCGTTTAAATTATTATATCAAATTAATCGTTTATTAAACATTTTACGTCATCGATTTTTGATGCACATAAATACCAACACATATATATCAGCTGAAATATATCAAGTGTATTACGTGGTACCTATGCGCTATCATATTCTAAATTAAGTAAATAGACTAAATAGAGGATCAATTGATTAATTTTGACATAAAAGCAAACCGTGTTTGTCACGAAATCGATTACTGCAGTGTGTGTCTATTATAAATACAGTCTTCCGGGAATGAAAGTTAATTATGATTTGGATCTTATCTTCAAAGTGTTTAAATCACCGCATAATGTAATACTTCGGATAATCAACACAATTCTAAATCGGCTACAATAGGTAACCAACCCATGGAGATTATTAAACCATGATTTGCAATCATGTTGATGACAAAAATTATTTAAATTATTTTTCTCCCGACGCTGTAAGTTTTCAGAATATTAATTCATCAACATACAACAAATATAAACCGGGAATATCACTATGTATTTTATTTTAAAACTACGACCAGTTAAAACTAAAAAAAAAACGGTTTTAAACGGTTAACTTAAGTCATTGTCACACAACGCCACGAATACCTATATCGGTGTTGAATGTTGAATGTATATTGTTAGATCACTGTAACAGAAGTGTCTGATTTGAATTAAATTGTAAATCATTTCAAAATACCTTTTATTAACTTCAAAGTAAATACTGTCATACCTACTAACATACTTAAGAACACTATGAATAGAATCTTGATATAAATACTTTAAAATTAAAGAAAAACTATTTTAAAATATCCTTTTTTTTTTTTTTTTTTAGTAAATAATATTATACCTTAGTTATGTCGAAAAGTCTCAAGTCCACACGAATAATATTTTTTTAATTATAACAAAATAACTAAAACCATTAAAGGGAAAATTGTTATTTTTCATTTAAATATCTAATTTTATTTGAACCTCAAATTTTCCATAAAAAAAATTGTGTATAATATCTGTTTTTGATATTTTTATATTGTGAGAATAACTGAGAATAACTCCATGACCTGACCATATTATTTTTTTTTATTGTCTATATATTTTTGTAACATAATAAACAACTTAATTTTTTGCTCGTAGTTTTAGCAATCGCAAATACTTTTTTTTGTTTTTAAAACATTAAGACCGTTTAATGGGAGAAATTATTTGATAAACATACAAAAATAAAATAAAATAACAGTTTATTTTTTATCTAATAGTAAAAAGTTTTAAATATTTAAGAATGTGAGCGGAGAGTTGTATTCACTGGTTTTACAATGAAAATGTATATTTATTTTAATGAAATTGCTTTAATCATCAATATAAATAATTTATAATAATTTAAAGAACTTCAAAAATTTACAAACATTTATGTAAGCTTATTTACAGGCATGAAAACATTTTCAATTTACTTTGACTTTTTCAATCTATTTAAAATATATATTTTTCTACTTTTTTGATTTATTTTAATATAATTTTTTTTTTTGTGAAATTAAAAAGCTTGTAAATATTACACAATAAAAATGTAAACAAAAATATTAATTATCAATTGTTTTTATAGAAATTTAAAAATATTGAAAATATTATATTATTTTCATAGTCTACAACATATAAGTACCACATATAACTCATGATTTATTATCTGAGTATCATGAATGATTTTTTGTTGATGTTCTGTCATTTTCTCGCCTTTTTTTTACATTTAAATTGTTTTTACTTACGTTATATTAGACATTTGTGTATGATGCAAAAATCGTTTTAAAAGCCGGATAGATGAGTAGAAGGTGCCCACGGCGTATTCCATATTCCTATCTTATTACTATCAAGACATAATTCACTGAATTCTTAAACCTACTACATGGTATGCTCTATAATTTAATCAATAAAGTTATATTATGGTGATTGGATAAGCGATTCTAAAACAACTTATTTGGAAAATACATATTATACTTGTTTCAGACTAATGTATTGTATTATTTTTAGATTATCCATTCAAATTTTTAGGCGCTTATTATTTTATAATCTAATAATTGTATAATTATTTTATAGTATCTATATTTATTAGTATTCAATGCAATATTATGTATATTTTTTCTATCCAAAAAGCGGTATTGAATAGAACGGCATATTATTATTATTATTATCAACATAAACAGTACACCTGCTTATAGAAATGCGTAGTAATTATCCTAACGAAGACACAAAAATAACAATAATATGTACATTTTGTGCCTCCTATAACTCTGAAATATACAGCTAATTACAACGAATCTTATACCTGTATACAAAGCAGGATATTAATAATCGCCATTGAGTTTTCAAATCCGTTATGTAATAGTATAAAAGCTTTAATAAGAAAATAGGGTAGAGTTGTTTTAACTTTTTAACATCGTGCATAGTAGGCAGGTGGGTAAATAGCTCTGTAAATATTTTGTTTTCAGCTTAAATAATAATATTTTTTATGATAATTTATTTTTACAACTTTTTTTATTGATTTTACTCATATTAAACTCTTGATTCACGTCATTGATAAGGTATTTTATAATGAAGGTAATAGATACACATTTTTAGTATAATACAAAAGTCTGTAATACATAATAATAGTTAGGTAAATGCAATGTATGAAATATACGAGTATGTACCTAATATTTTATACGGTTTACAATACTTCACACCTATAATATACTTTGTACATTATAATCATAGTATAATACGTATAGCAAATTCCCATTACCGGGTACGGCACAAAAGTTATTAATATGTAGGACGTGATTTGATAACACGCCGAAAAAATATTAACCCGAATAAAATTAGGATTAACATTTTTATCGTTCAATAATGATTACGGAATAAAGTATACCTGTAATTCTGATAAATACTTAATATTTTAGCAATCCAATTCTTTATTGTAGAAAGGTATATTACGACAAGAGTATACGACGTTTTAAATCATTAATGTACAAAAAATGAAAATCACTTACCGTTATTGTATTTGATAAAAACTATTATATATTATAAAAATTGTTTTAATATAATTTTAAACTATTATGTACAACTAAAAACAATCGAGAAATACGCTC